TTAGCCATTTGCACCCATTATCTTTACTAAGAAGTGCATAAAATCATGCAGACGCCTAGGTGTTGTGGGATATTTGCCAATTTATGGTGCCTAAGACTTGCGGTAACGTCTAAACATATTCATTTTTATCGGGAACGCACGAAACGGATGCGATAGCTTTTTGAACGCCAGACGAAGACTACGCATACAACCGAGCTCAAAATTCCATATAGTATTTATTTCAGAGCAGGTATTACTGAGTACTATCATCTTCAACATGAAATAATCTGTATCTCACTTATACATCCGAAGTTTTAAAATCTAACATTTAGGTAACATTCGTATTGAATTGGTCTTTACAACGGTAACTACCAATTTCAAATCAATTCAAATTGCCCCCTGCTGTGATGTACCGAATGTTCAGCGAAATGTAACGGAAATATTTCAATCCTTCCTTATAAGGCAATTTTTAAACATTAGTGCTTCGTATGTGATATACGTATATATTACCTCGTAAACTAAAACATATTACCAGGGAGTCTCGATCAAAGCATATTTCGTGTGTAAAAGGACACAAAACATTTTTTTTTTTTTAGATATATTTCACAAAATATTTCGTCATAAATCACGGTGATATAATTTTTCCCTGATATTGGTATAAAAGTGTTTCTTGAACATTCACGAACTCATATCTATGCACAATGTCATAATTAAATGCCTTATGCACGATTGCCGCAAGCAAAAGTCCACATAGGTGTACCTGGGCGCTCATTAGCGACGTACCTCTCTGGGTGCTGAGGGACTCGCACGCCGGCTGCAAGACAACGAGCCATAGCAGGCGGTTAATACTCGTTTGGTAGTTTCCTCATCCATGTACCTATACTATACGCTAACTATCTCAATTTAACCCCCTCCCCCCCCTCTCTTAGGGACGGTCCCCTTAAGAACACTTGTATTTCAGATAGCAAGATATTACAATCCTCCATACATGATTATATATTCTCTTTACCATATCCTAAAAATCAACATTCAATAACCATCTAAGTCCTCATATTCATATTTTCTTCATATGTACAAAATTAATGTATGATCTTCCAATTATATGCTTGTCACAATCAACATATCCACTACATAAAAATTTGGTTTTAGTTTCAATTTCACATAGCAATATGGTACAAGAAAAACCTTGCCATTAATGGACTGAACAATAAAAAATATTTCCTTCAGAAGTTGATAAGAAAGTTGTGCAATACATAATACTGCAGTATACATTTATAAAATGACCCCAAAAAGACGAAAATCTAATGACCCTGACATAAAGAACAGAATGCATGAAATGATCTGTGCAGGCAAAGAATAATATAAGAAATAATGAAAAAAGGGTGGGGGGTGGGGGTTTGGGGGCACAGCTTTTGATAGGGAAATATAAAGATAGGGTGGTATCTAGGGGATGAAGCTCTTGAGCTAGGAAAGTTATTTATTCACACAGCAGTGTTTGTAGATCCCCAGGTGCGGCCTGAGTAATAAGGATTTTATAAACAATTGCAGTATTTTTGCTTAGATGCATATTACACCATGAATAACTGAAACAAGAAACAATAATTAATTGGTAGGATGCCTGTGAAACTAAAAATCCAAACATTTTGGCGGTTAGTGTTTACGGCACATACACTAAGCTAGGGTAAACTGAAGATGCTTTTCGTTAAATTTGCAGCAGATAACAATCAGGGTTACAGTAAAAATAGTGTATGGAATTATTAACTTAACACAACCTAAGACACTTTTCATCTTTGGCATAAGGTGCGCAAATCAAAAATAAAAGAAATACATGACATAGAAGGGAGTGGACTGAGCTATCTTTTTCTAGGTTCTTCACCATGCTATATCACAAATGTAAATAATACTATGACCACTTAACTCATTCCTGCTATCCTTCAACAAATTCACATACTGCTATGTGCTTGTGAATACAATTTTGTACATTTCAAAGTCTGCTTTTCCTAATTCATGTATTTTATGCATTCCTTTACTTCTAATACACAGTCTTCATGTGTTTTGATAGTTTTACCCTATTCTTTACAAATACCTAATGTGCTTTTGCACTTTCGACCAGGACTTTTAAGACCATGTGTTCACCATTCCTTGACATATCACTGGTGAGGAATGTTTCATTTTCAGTGTTGCATCGATTCCAGGTCCTTTGTAAAACAATATAGTGGCTATGCAGAAGAAATAGACCTTAGTAACTATCACAGCTTCATATGTGAACCCATAAAGTGCCCCAAATTGCCATTAAAAGTGACTAGAAACCAAGTCATGGCAACTTTGATTGTTGAATAAAGTTTGTGATATGGGATTAGGTTGCTTTATTGGTCAGGACGTATTGGGTGGTGTAAATTCCCGTAGATTTTACCAAAAGATGAGTTGGCTTCCCATACGCTTTTTTGAAAGTTAACCTGTCAGTCCACAGACTTGCAAAGATGGCAGACACATATTAGAGTTTCAATTGCCAATACTAAGCATTTTCTTTTGCTGATTTTATACATTGTTATTCTCTATTCTTCTTATTTCAGCTTGTTTTACCCAAAATTCCCCTGATATACTTCATTCCCTCCTTTGCAATTGGGATTTAACACATCTAGACTGTTGGCTGTAACTGCTAAGGAAATGATTATCAGATTCGTTCTTGTTACACGAGAATAAAACTGATGATATAAATACTGTCTGGGAAGTCCCAAATATCATCAATGGTAAAATAACCTGATATTCTTATCGAGGACAAAAAGTTATCAACAGTACAAGAAATAATCTGCAGTCACAACTTAGACTGTGGGAACTGATTTTGTGATTTGGAGCTAGGAATTTAGCATCTGGTGAGTGTGTTCATACCCTAAAGAAAATTATCATTTTGTCAAAAAAAAAAAAAAAAAAAAATCATTTTAACGGGACCTGACCTGGCATCATATGTTTGCAATTATCCTTAGCATGTAAGGACAGAGCTTTGTGATAATTTTAAAAAGAGCAATGGTGGATAGTACAAGTAATCAGCAAGTATACAGCAAAATAACTGACTTGACAGTAAGGTGTCAAGTCTTATATAAGTTAGTAACAGTATTCCACAAACCATGTAATTAGTCTGAACACTAAACATCACAAATAAATATGCATTTATCTGATTCTATGATATGGAATCAAGTTATTACAAATTAGTAACTCAACTGAAACTTTAAACTTAATAAGTGTGATGGCAAAATATGGTTGCAGAACATGGCATCTTGAAATCACAATATCACAAGAAATCATTTTTTTTACTACACCTTACTCCCAAGGAAAAATCCCAAACACAGGGTGATTTATGCAAACACAAAAACTAAATCAGTAATAATTACAGACCAGCAAGCAATACAAAATATTCTTCAAGGTCAATAAAGGGATATAAGAATTCTTGCAATAAATTCCACACTTTTTGCAAAAACCTTTGAATTTTAACTAATAAAAAATATGGCCTTTATGGGATACTTTCTAAACCTATATAATCATGCATTGCATTAAATAATTCTTTGAGGTTCTCTTTAACAGGTTATTCCCACATTAACTGCAACAAATATGGTACATCAAAATTCATGTTAAAATGTCTGAAATCCTCGCATTCTTGACACCCTTTCCCGAACACTAAAATTCCAGAACTACCTTTCACAATTTGCATGTCTGAATATCTAAAGTATATTTTAGTACAGAATCCCAATGACATAACTTTTAAAAAAATGTATCGATCCAAAAACATCACGAAATAACCACATACAAACACCTGTCCTGAGATCCCACACTTGTGTTTCTCCACCAACTGCTTATCAATCACTCCAATCACAAGCATAAAAACACGTATTTCCCATTAACTCACCGTAATACCAACCCTCTAACTCATGCCATAGGTTCGAGTAGTTATTTAACCACCTACCTAGAGCCATTTCGAGTGACTAATGATAGAGATAATGGAGATTTTTTTTTCCTTTTTAACACGGAAGCTCTCAGGCTCACCCTTCCAGTGCGGTCCGGTGACGTCGTCTGCCATTTTCTGTGACTTGACAGTAGCTTACACGTGTTACAAAGTCGCTATTTTGTAATTTAAGGTAATTTAGAGAGTTAGAAAGGAAGTAACTATTGACTTCGGGTGAAGTCTTTGGTGTTAAAGGTAATTTCCAAAGCGCGAATTGCGTTCCTGTTGAGTTACAAGGCGAGCGAGTGGAATGGAACGCGCTTGACTACTTTCATTTTCAATGGAATTGGGTACTTGTAGTGTCGTTGATTCATGCAAATTAACTAGTTCATTAAAAACAGAGTAAATAAATTGGAATAATACATTCCTTCTTAATTATTATTCATATATGTTTACGTGGCAAAGATATCTGCAATCATTCCGGGTTAAACTAATGCACATTTGCATTTTATGATATTATTATATATATTTTTTCTACTCCAAACACAAGAAGCGATATTAGTGAATTATTGTCTTTTTACTTTTTACTTAACTGGCGATATTAGAACTCTCTTCCTGCATCATAGAAACCCTTTAGAACAATTATTTGAGGGCAATAAGCAATTGATAATTTTTGCTCAGATGAGTAATAGATCATTGTAGTCTCAATGTGTAACTCTAAACGTATAAATGATATATTATAGACATTTATTTTTTTCCAGAATTACCTCGTTCACTGAACAGAAAAATACAAAAAATGTCATCTTAACATCATCCCCAGAAGCTGTTCCTACATCTTCATTCATTTATCGTTAAAAGATTGAAAATTCTCAGTTAAAAAAAAAAAGTAAGTGCAAAAGAAAATATCTTGGGATTTAAAATTTCGCCCGAGAACGTTTCTTTGACGATAAAGGACTACGAATCTAAGAATATTTTCCTGAAGCAATGTAAACACCTGAAAATATTGCAGAAGTTTTTGTATTTCAAAACATATTCCAGAGGCGTATATAAATAAAACAAAATTTTCGGTAAACGTATATAAACCAAGATAGTAATATATATATCCGTAGTGTGTCGCTGTGTGTGTTATTATGTGTTTACTCTGCTCGTCCTAACGCGAGTGATTATTTTTTTTTCGATTTTTCCCCTATTTATGGCGGGTGTATGTACGTGCAGGTAATATCAAGGTCCTCTTAGGGTGTATAAGCATTCCTTGATGTATACATATTATGGTAGTTGTGGCAGTCTTTGGGAAGTGCAACAACAGTGAGGATTTCTGTAAGCTAATTTACTGGAATCATAAGAGCATGTGCCTGTAAAACATAAAGCAGTCGAGTTACATACGGACTAGATCTGGTAGTCTATTGACAATATATATATTAACTATCCAAGGTCGTCATTCGGGGTAAATTTCATTTACGTGATTATTAATGATTAATTTGTTCAAAAGTTTGTTTCTGTATCAAATGGATTTGGTATTGGGTTTAGCCCCCGGTTATGAATTACATGAATGTCACACATATGAAGACAGATCAACATTTACTGTGCATACTCAGACAAGATAGAGTCAAGGAAGAGTCAGCAGGGAAGTTTTAAAGTGTAGGTAATTTTTTCTAATACGTCCTCCTAACAGATTGTAAGGATATTGGGATCGTTGGATTCCTTTCACCATCTATAATGCAAATATGTAGGTTTTATTACACGGAACACCCCCAACCCCCTCATTTGTGACAAGCTTTGCCCCAATAGCAGGGGAGGGCATGAAAGGTACCAGGGATGCAATATGAAAAACCTCTACCCAGGAAAACAAAGAATCCTCCACTTATTCAAGGCAGGAGAGAGCATTGGACAGACTTGGCAATGCTGTTCCCGTATGGTGGTTGTACGCTTTCTCCTGCCATAAATACAAGGAGGATTCTTTTTTCTGTACAGGGTTTGGGGGGCAGCAGACCCCTATTGGAGGGTTGCAGGGGGCACAGCCCCCATCATTCAACAATATTATTCATATAATATTGTTATATGTTATTGTTATTGAATCTACATGGTCGAGGTTGGTTAACCAAGTTTGTCGGGACTTCAATTAACCTATTGGGTCTGGATGCCTCTCAGCCCACATATGTCCCAAAATTTGAGTAGTAGGCTTGTTTCAGTAGCAACTCTACTGGTTGTGTGGCCTGTAAGCCCATCCCACATGAACACTAGTGTGCAGTATGAAGACTCTTTGTCTCCCCTTTGCAATTTCATCATCTCTCTCTCTCTCTCTCTCTCTCTCTTTTTTTCTAAGCATTTTTGCCAATTTCCAGGGCTTGTATTTGTTGTTTGAAAACTGTATCAAGTTGATAATAGATTGTTTTAAGCCTAGAAAGTGTTTGACCCTGTGCAATAACAATAATGATGAGTAATTCAGTATTCTGTAACACACCCAGGGCAGGGACGGGATTTTGAGCATAGAATTAGTGTCCTCACACATGTCTGAACTCCACCAGGGAAATATTGTTTTCACCTCAGTATGCATGCCAAGATTGAGCTGAAACTCAAAAGCACTGAGTGGACTTAGACTATGAGCAGCACTTTCCATGATCACTTTCTTTTATTTGTGGTGTTACCATTTGTGTCTGCCCCTCCCAATACCTTGCTCGTTGTTGTCATGGGAGGGCTTAGGAGATGGAGACTGAGATCCAGTGTAGGGGATCACCCCTACTTTGAGCCTCAGCCCACGCCTCAGCTAATTTTGCTTGGTCTTTTCTTCTCCCCTCTCCTCTTCCATATCTTCGTCATCCCCTTCTGCTATCCCATTCCTAAGGTGTGAGAGCTGTGCTGAAAGGATGTAAAGCTGGCTTTGTGTTAGTCATGAACGGGCTCCAGGAGCCAAGGGCACGGTATTCCCTTGTTTGATTGTCTAGCCCTTACCCCTTATTTGGGGTAGACCATTTCTGTCCCCAATTTTATTCAGGCTCACCATGGCCAATAATGAAGATTATCCTTAATAGGGGCATTAACCCATTATCGCCGGTATATTTTGAAGCTGGCCCAGATTCTGTTCGTGTGCCGGCCGCAGCCCGCTGCTGAGTCGGAGTGCGAGCCCTGATATAGCATCACACTGGCAGGACATATCAGGAAATTTTTTTTTCTGGGTGTCTCATAAGTGAGACACCCATCAAGTGGGTTAAGGCTTGCCTCTTCATCATCTAACCTATCTAAATTTGACTTTGATGTTTATCTGATCCTTGCCCGTACTTTGACCATGGCTCCAACCACTGATACTAATATCCTCTCCATGGCGCTTACTGACAACTCTGTCCATTCCAAAACTCCCACCCAGGTTATTACTCAACCTCCAGAAAGCACCCTTTCCTCTATCCCAACATTCTTCTCTCCATCTCCTACTGCACAGTCTAATTCAATGTCTACAGCCTCTTCCCTTTTTACTACTCTTCATTCATATTGTCCTCCTCCCCACAGAACTACTCCTTTCCACATCACCCTCCCTTCCTCTCGCCCTCGTCTTTCTACTACCACAACCTGTACAAACCTTTTGAGTACTTTCTTTGGCCCAGCCAAGGGGATCAATTCTGAATCTGAATCCCAAGCTCATGCACTATCTACCCTATCTGACCTCACTGGCAAATCCATTCCTTCCAAATCTCACCCCTTTCTTAATACTTGTACTGGAACTGTTTCTATCCCCCCAAATTCTTGTTTTATCTACAACAAAGACTGGTCAGACTGTGAAAATTACCTACTTACCTGCCTTGCTGATTATGGTGCTGTGGCAGTACAGTGTTACACTATTCCTCCCAGAGGCCAGCATAAGTCCCATGTCAGTATTGCCAAAATTAGCTTCCATAGACATGACCTACCCCATGAAGTTATGTCGGTGGATTGTCCTACCATGTCCGACCATATCGACCCCTTCCTCGTCAATGTCAGAAGTATTGGAGTTTTAGCCACCCAGCCAAACACTGTCACTCCACAGCCCACTGCCCTCTATGTGCCCAACCTGGTCATGACTGTTTAAATTGCCCTGCTCAGTCACGTCCATGTGCCAGTTGTGGAGACTCCCATTATATATTTTATAGGAGTTGCCCTGCCTATAAACTAGAAAGTTAGGTAGCAGCCCTCAGATTCAAATTAGGACTCACTCTACGTGAGGCCAGACAAGAAGCATAACAACAAGGTTTTTCTCTCTCAACTTACTCCAAAACAGTCCTTCGCTCGACTCCTTTACCATCCTCGTAAGATATTTTTGCATCTCCCCCAGTATCTCTTCCCTATACCCTAAACCATCCTATGCCTACTCACCTTATCTACCAGTCAAATTTGTTTTCCAGTCTAAATCCAGATACTCCAGTCTCTACCACTTCCCTGATACCTACCCCTCCTCCTCACTGTATTTGTCGCACCAGGCAACCTAAATGTTCCACTCCATCCTCATCTACCATATCCTCTCCTACATCTTCCTCTTCTTCTGCTTCTCAGATATATATATCTGCTTCTCCTCCTCATAAGAAAACCTTTATTTCTTAGTCCTCTTCACCCAACTCCCCCTCAGAAACTCTTGTAGACATCCAAAACTTCCTAAAGACAACCCAAGGGAACACTTCGCTCCCTCATCCACCCCCCAGTCCCTCTGTTCCTACTCCTACATTTAAAGTATTTGCAGATATCCATCCTCCTCCTCCTCCTCAAGTTCCCTCCACCCCCTTCCTCCTATACCGTCTCTACCGTTCCCACTTGAATACCTACATGAATCCCTTCTATCGCAACAGTGTCCTTCTCCAGAACCCTCCCCTCCTGACATTCTTCTACCTTCCCAAATTCCCCTTTCTCATCGCTTGGATTCTTCTCCTACTTCTCCAACAGTCACCTCTGTTTTCCCCGATACCTACCCCTTCTCCTTACTTTATTTGTTGCACCAGGCAACCTAAACATTCCCCTTCACGCTCTCCTACTACATCCTCTCCTACACCTTTTTCTTCTTCTGCTCCTTAGGTATCTATCTCTGCTTCTCCTCCTCACAAGAGAACCTTTGTTTCTCAGTCCTCTTCACCTAACTCCCTCCAGAAACTCTTGAAGACATCCAAAACTTCTTAAAGATGACCCAAGGGAACACTCCCCTCCCTCATCCATCCCCCAATTCCTCTGTTCCTTCTCCTACATATAAAGTATTTGCAGGTATCTATCTTCCTCCTGCTCCTCCTCCTCAAGTTCCCTACACCACCCTTTATCTTATACCCTCCAAACATACCCCACCATATCACTCACATGAATCCCCTCTATCACAACAGTGTCAGTCTCCAAACCCCTCCTCTCCAGACATTCTTCCTGATACCTCACTGCCTTTCCCAGTCCCCCCTCTCATCCCCCAGATTCTTCTCCTCCTACTTCTCCAACAGCTACCTCTGATTTCCATGAACAATGTCCCTATTCCTTCCTCAGTCAGTACACTGCAATTCATTCAATTGCTCTACCCCCTTAACCTTTCCCATTTTACTAATCCATGCTCAATCTCATTTACTTCCCTTTTTTCCCTTTTTGTTGCCACACTTTCTAATCTTTGACATTAATAACCCCCACTCCCCACCCCCCATCTCCCTGGATGCATCTCCAACCTTTCCAACAGCCATGTCTGTTTTCCTTAAACATTGTTCCTATACCTTCCCCAGTGACAGATACACTGTAATTCACTCAATTGTCCTACCCCATTAACCCTCCCCTTTCTGCTAATCTCTGCTCTAGTTCATTTACTCCCCTCTTTTCCCTTTTCAATACCATACTATCCTATAACACTTTCTCATATCTTTAACATCTGACACATTTTATCCTAATCTTTAACTCCTCTTTACCCTTTCTATCACAATTCTTTACCATAGGGCTATATGACCTAAGATGTCTAAGACATTTATTTCTCAAAGACATATCTTTTTCTGTTTAATTATTTATTTTTCAAATTTTTTATTACAGGCATAATGGGTAGACACAGCAGCAGTGAAGAAGAAAACTCAAGCCCAGACAGACGAGAAAAGAGCAGTCACAAATCTGACAAGAAGAGAAGAGGTTCACATCAAGGACGATACAGGAGCAGATCACGCTCACACACAAGAAACCACCGGTCGAGGTCACAGGATAAACACTCTAAGCCCAAAGCCTATGCAAGGAAGAGCCGGTCCAGATCACGTGATCGATGGCAGAGATCAAGGTCAAGGTCACCCTCTAAGAATGAAACATCAAAAGCTTATTACAAGAATTTCAGGGCAGGGTCACGGGACAAGAATCAGAGATCAAGATCAAGAGACAGGAAACAGAGATCAAGGTCACGTGACAGGAGCCGAAGGTCTAGCTCAAGAGATCGAGGAAGAAAATCCAGGTCAAGAGAGAGGGATATAAGGTCAAGGGAGATGGATAGAAGTAAAAAAATGGAACAAAGATTAAGAAGGATTGCTGAAAAAAGGGCCAATTCTAGTTCTCGTTCTAGGTCAAGGTCTAGGTCAGGTTCAATGTCTGAGACTAAACAGAGAATTAGAGACATTTATAACAGAAAGGAAAGTTCCGCAGACAGAGAACTTCGGGACAGAGAAAGGGCAAGGACGCCAGAAAAACATCAATCAAAGTCTGGTCAAAACCACTCTGATGAGAGACAGAGGTCAAGGTCACATGAAAGGGAGATACCTCGAAAAAACCAGCCATCTCCACTTGATTCACGGAGGAATCGAGACAACTCCCCTCCTACACCTGATGGAAGATGGGGTCATAATAAATTCTTTGAGCAACAGAGGGCTCTTGATGCACCATTCCAGAGGGATAGAGAGAGGGGCGGAGGCAGTTCCAGAGATATGAGTGGCATGAGAGATAGTAGCAGAAATGGTGGATACAGGGACAGAGGTATGCAGAGACAATTGTGAATTATATTGTGGTGCATGTGATATATTTATAATGATAAAACATTTTGGACACTGCATATTTGTTATGGATTGTTTATTATACTCAATATTTTCTTGCAAACCACAGGTGGGGGAGGATTTAGCCGTCATAATGGGTTAGGTGACCAGACTGATGACTATTTTGGACGACGTAGAGTAGAAAGAGAGCAGATATCAATAGAAGGTATTCCTGAAGTTTGGGCAGCATCTCCAGTCAACCCTCCAGATG